CTATAGTCTGCAATAGAAATGTGAGCACAAAGAGGGAATACTGCACTAAAGTACTTATTTGGAGCTGTAGCTATTGCCATCTCCATGCAGGGAACTGTCGGTGTTATTCACTGCTCGAAAGGAAGAGCCACTGGTGCATTAAATTCAAGAACAGGGTAGAAAATGAAGATAGTCTGGTAAATAACTGACCTGTAAAGACAGATTCAGGACAGACAATGTACTATGAAAAGAATCCTAGAAAAACCATAATGGTAAAAACTAAAGTTTGATTCTTTTCCAGTCTTTAGGAGGGACTTGGTTTATTAATTTCAATGTGAAAGATCCAAGCAATGGGCTCACCAAGGTTCAACAACCCACCAGGACACAGTATGTATAAGATACTTACATATACAATGAGAGCATAGGGGTATGTTAGATAGATGTGACACTTGGAGAGGATATAAACCTTTATGTTCTGAACCAGCATTAATTACATGGCAATAAGCAGAAATTCTATTAATGGGGACGCTCCCCATAATTGTCCCTTATGGTGGCCCATAAAGCAATTGTTTTTGTCTCCAGCAGTCAAATTAGATGGTCCATGAATCTGATTTTATAAAGCGATTTGTCTGTTCTCGTCTGCCAGGAGGTTTTTATGAGGCCTGTCATGGGAAAGTCTCTTCAAGTGACAGACTATTGTCTTGTAAAATCAGACACGTGGTTTCTGCAGGATTCAGCCTGTTGGTTTTGGGGGAGTTTTTTATTACTATTTTTTTTCCCTCTCACCTCTGATAAGTGACAGCTGCTCTTCATTGACAGCTCATCGCAGAGGGCAGTGTCCTCACGCAATTTGGCGTTGCTGAACTAGGCGTGATTAGCCAGCACGGGCTCGTGGGAGAATAAAACTTCATTACTGGGGCCAAACGCATTAATTCAACCCTTATTACTGGGGCAAAGGGAAAAAATACTGGAGATGGGGGGGTGGGGGGGCAGAGCAAGAAGTGCTTTTGCTTTGCTGCCTGGGGAGGCTTCCAGCAACCTCCTAAGGATGCAGATGTCCCCACTCTGGGTGTATCAGCTCAATTCCCTCCCACCCGCGGGTAGCTGTCCTCTCCAGCATGATTTGGAGCATCACTTGGGCGTTTGGTAACTTAGTCCCACCTTGTGCCATCAACCAATGACCCCCAGAGGACTTTGGTCCTGTTCCAACCTAGACACCCGAAACGTGACATTGCCAACACATCTGGGCAATGAGATTAGCCCTGAACACTCCTGCTCTGCACAGAAAGCTCATTGGGACGAGCTGAAAGGTGTGTGCACAGGGAGTGATGGGACATCAATCTCAGGGGAGCAGTTAAGAAATATATATTTAGTGGAATTTGTGTAGGGATTACTGCTGAGGGCTGGGGACGGGGCAGCTTTGCGAAACCTTTAGACTGAGAGCTTGATTGCAGCGCTGTGCTTGGCGTGATAAACCTGCCCTCACCCTGTCAGTGTTCCTGCTTGGGCTTCATCCAAAGTCTGGGGAGATCAGAGGCATTTTTCTCCCTACCGCAGCGCAGGAGGCGGTAGCTGGAGGGAAGCAGGCGTGTTTGCTCCGCAGTCGGTGAGAGGGGAGAGCCATCTGCCCTGACTTGAGGGAGAGACTCTCCTTCGCTGCCCATGGCAGAGGGTGTCTGCTCATTAGCTGCCAAGTGTTAATTCTGGGTGCGCCCTTTGCACACGAGCTTCCTCAGCAAGGGTCGGGCTTTTTCCTCCCTCTTCTTCCCCTGGTCCAGGAGTCACCCAAACTGCTGAGTGCAAGAGGATGGTCTCCAGCACTGACCCAGCTATATCCCCACTTCCCAAGGGCTTGGTCTGGATTGAACTGAGGACATTTCTATTTATTCCTTCAGCATGTTTTGGACAGCCCCTCGGTACTGTTTTCCACTTGAAGAGCTAACTGATGATAATTGTATTCTGTTTCTCCTTCCTGAGCTAATTTTCTGACTCATTCTGGATTATTTTTTCTGCTTGCTTTTTGTTCATCTAGTTGGCATTTTGTGGTTTCTTTGTTCATTATGTGATGGGGCTATATAAGGGGATTTGTCTCTGGAATTCAGGTATCCCCTGCACTGTGTTCTCTGTTATCGTCTTCATCAGCAACTGTGCTGAAGGCAGTTAAATGCATTCGGCATGAGCTAACCTTAATAAATCTGGGTTGTTAATCACTCAGACATGTCTCTGTTGAATCTGTGCATACTGATTTGTGTGTGCTCAAATAGTTTCTCTGGAGCTGACTTCTGGTAACTCTGTGTTTTAATCGTCTGCCCTCCAAATTCACCCTTGGGGTCTTGCCTTCTGGGGCTTTGCCTGCCAGGGACAGGTCCAAGTCCTGCTGAGGTGATGCGCAGGGTGATGGCTCGGTCTGCAGAGCTCGAGCAGGATGAAGGTTTTCTGTGCAGTGTGGGCTTCCTGAGGGGCTCTTCTCCCACCCCATGGTCCTGTCCAGCCCTCCAACCTTGGGGTTCTCACACCGTTGGGCTGCAGGGAGCAAACTGTGCCATGTCTGCTGCCCACACGTCACCATGGGCTGCCCCATCCAGGGCAGGTCTCTGGGCACAAAAGCTACAGCAGCCCACTAGCCCAGCCCTGCTGGGAAGAGGGAGGAAAGCACCCGGTGCTGGTCCTGGGTTTGGAAGCTCTCCCTCGGTCCTATTGCTCTTGGATACGGGCTGCCACCCGTATCACACAAGGAAGCCAATTCCCACAGGCAAGCGGCATGTTTGAAGACAAATTAATGAATGTTTAAGCATCTATTTACCTGCTGAGTTGGCTCGGACTTTGACCTGTTTCAGCAAAAGCAGGATTTCTTAGATTGTTTTTTTCCAGACCCTGGCTCGGTAAGGCCTCTGATTGCTGCAGCCTCTCCTGCGGTTCAGCAGAGAAGCAACCTCTGGCCCCTCAGTCACTCTTCCTCTCCCATGTCAAACAACATAACTCAATTCATTTGTATTTTTTTTTTTATGTTGTGCATCCTATCGTTTGCCTGAATGCTGCTGAGAGAGTGCTGCTGTGTTAGTCAGGGTGTCCTCAAGAGATACAAGAGCCTTGAGGCAATGGGCAAAGCGTGCGAGGCTTTGAATCTCATTCAGGCATTGATAATTACCAGTCTAGATAGCTAAGCCATTACGAAGATGCAATACAGTCAGTTCTTACATCATGCCCATTTAGGGGAGAAAAATTCAACAACGAAGAGATGCTCTGATTGACAAATCCAAGGAAAACCAGCTAGGTCATTTTTCACAGCAAGAGATAGCTAACTACATGGATTAGCAGAAGATCAAGGGAGTGTGAAGAGACACCCACTTCTTTGGAATGAAGTCTTTGATTCTTCCAGAAGAAGATCATGCTGCCATTTAAAGAAAGACAGGAAGGAAAAAAACCCAACCTTAGAAATATCACTGATGGACTCAACACAAGGTTAAGAGACTCCTACCTCACCCATAGCCACTAGACATGACAGGCGCTCCCAGAACATCTCTCCTATCAAAGGGATCACCGGCAGGTACAACTCCACAGTTTGCTTGCTGCTTCCCAGAAATTGGGCAGTTTCTGAGGAAACCAGCAGCCGGTCTGTACCAGCATTCTTGGACAAACACCTCAAGAAACTACTGAAAATTTCTATCTATCCATCTTGCACTGTGAAACAGCCCTGGGGATGGGATTTAATCCCCGGCTTGGCTCATTCCCCAGAATTTGCCAACAGCGAGGTAGATTTCATTTCAGAATCACAGCGAGAGCCATAGCTTAATATTTCTCATGGAAGGTAGTAGTGTTGTTGCTATGGTTATTTCATAGAAGCCCAAGATATAATATGTAGGTTGAAAGAAAATATAGAAATATGTCTTTAGAAAACGAGTTTTGTGTGCAAAGTGCTATAGAAAGGTGCATGGGGCCGTGCATGGGGCTGGAGGTCCATGCCAGTCCTGCTGCTTGGGTGTTGGGTCACACACAGCTCCTCGAGCTGTTACAGAGAGCCTTGAGGGGGCAGGATGTGATTTTCCACTTTCTGTTGTTGCTTTGTGAAGTGTTTGCTTTGCGGGTGTTATTCAAAGAGCCCTGGAAAGTTTTGTCTGAGGCGATAAGACACAGTAAATAAAGAATACACTCGTCCAGGATGAAGTTCTAGGTGAGTGGTTTTGTTAAACTCTGCCTGGTTTTTGGGTGATACCAGTGGTGTTTTCCTTTAGTATCTGGCTGAATCAGCTGAATAACTGTGAAGAGCAAATAAGCCCATGAATCACAGCTAACCAAGCCCTGCATCTGCCTTATTAACTGATGGATGCTGCCATCACAGTTCACTCAGCACTACTGTTATGGCACTAGAGGAATGGGCACTCCTTTTTTATACATTACTTAGTGTGAATCCTGTTATATGCTGGCAAACAGTGAGTTTAAACCTGAAGGGGTCCTGTGAGAACATATCAGAGAAGCTCAATAGGCCAAATCAAGTCCATTGGATCCAGAGCAAGCACCAAGTGGGGGTCTTGGTGTTGCAGGGCTGTTACCTTCTGCCTCCAGGCCAGGTCCTGGATGACTCCATGCTTTACCCAACCATTGCTGAACTTTATTTTCTGCTGATTTTTGATCCCTGTTCTGGACTTTGAGGAGGGGGGATACTTTTTCCTGTTAGTCCTTTTAAAGTAGGACCTCCAAGTACTTTTTTCCTTCCTGAGCCCATAAGACACAGCACCTCCCAGGTTTTTTGTGGCCATCTAATGGTTTGCCCTGAGGCTGCCATTGCTCACATTTCCACTCTTGAAGGAAACTTTCCAGTTGCTGGGAGAAGCTCATCCACTGTAACTTTTAACTGGGTTTCATTTACATCCTCATCTTGTGATAAAAACTTGTGCTACAGCAACCAAAGGATGAAGGATGCTGGTTGGAGAAAATGCTCTTAACATTCTGAAGACATTTGAGTGAAAACAGGCTGCTAAATTTCCACAGTGGAAACCAAAAAGTCCCTACTGACATCCACCTTTCCTCAGGGAAGAAATAACATTTTAATAAAGTGGAATACATGGCAGTTTGAGGGCCATTCACTAAAAGTTGATGAGTAAGGAACAGTGAAAAGGCAAATGTAAGCTTCTCTTAATAATTAAATGAGGTGATGCTCATTAATTAGAGACACTTTTAACATTTTGAAAAACTCACAACAATGTTTTTCAACAGAAACCAGACCTTGCTTTACACAGAGAGAGGGCAGTCCCTGCACTCAGCAGCAGGCTGCCTTAAATTCCCATATTCAAATAATTGTTAGTTTCCAAGTGAAGTGCTTCATCCTTTCTGCTGCTGCTCGTGGTGCTCTGCTCTTCTCCTCATGCAGATGTTGCATTGTACACCTGAGGTGCAGGGACGTGGCCGAGTGGAGTCAAGTGGCCTGGAAGTGAGGACATCCCCTCCGCTCTCTCCTGTTCCTTCTCACTGCACAAATGGAGGGAAAAAAAAGAATCGAACCTTAGTTTCCCTTCTTTTCCTTTCCTCATCCGCCCCCAGGAAGGTGGTGGGAACATGTCCTTGTCCCCACCAGAACCTGGGTCCCCCCTGCCTCTTCCCCAGGCAGAAGCTAAGTTCATCAGGGTAGACCTGACAAGGTAGACACCAGGTAGAAGCATCCCTGACCCCAAGCAGCTATGACTGACTTTAAACTATTGAAAACCATCAGCTGGTTTTTCATCAACTAGACAAACCTAGACTCCTCAGCTGCCCCTCATAGGGCATTCCTTCCAGCCTTGCCACCAGCTTTGTTGTCTCCTCTGAACGCACTCCAAGAGCTTCACATCCTTCTTAAATAGTGGGGCCCAGAACTGTATGCAGTGCTCAAGGTGAGGCCATGCCAAAGCTGACTACCTTTTATCCAAAGCAGCTTGTTTGGGGTGGTTTTGCTATGAGTACAGAGTTTCCCAGTGAATATCAGGCCTGAGGACCACCCTGGCTGGTCTGTACCAGAGCCCCTCTGTCACCACTGCAGCACGTACTGGTCACCAGCACCGAGTTTTGAAGGATTACCCAGGAACTGTCAGGGCTCAAAACACACATCCCTCTAGCCCTGCAAAAGACCTATGACTACTCAACCCAAAGCCTGGATGGATAAGTAAGTAATAATGTTTTCCTGTCTTTTGTCTGTCTTCTCCAAGTCAGAGAAGTCCCTTGCTTGAGCTCAACCAGGGAAGCTGGGAGGAGAAGTCTGACCTCTCTGGTCTTGGTGCAATTTTTAAGAAGGATGGTATGATGGAGAAAGGGACATCACTGGCCAGGCCAGGAGGTCCTTCCAGTGTCTCCTCCCCAGTGCCCAGCCACTGCTCCACACTGCTTGTGAAATCATGTAGCAAATCTGGTTTCTTTCTGCCTTTAATATCTCTTTTCCATGTTGTTTTCTTTTTTTTTCCTCTCTCCCTCATGTACTAAATCTTTCCTTTGTTCTGTATCCTTTTTTTCACCTGCCTCCCAAGCGTAGCTAAATTAAACTCTATTTTTCTCAGGATTGTAAACAAAACCTTCCCTCTTAGTCAGAGTCAATTCCGTTGTTTAAATGAAACTCTTTTACAGCAATTAGTAATTATGCAGGATGATTTCATTCTTCAGTTAGTGAATGCTACAGCCCTGATGAAATATTTTGTGGCCTTTTGTTTACTGCCAGTGTAGGTTTATTTCCTGAATTAATCTTTTTATAATAAAACCAAAAAGGAATTCTCAAGGGACTAAATTTCTCCACCTGAGTGCCATCTGAGGCTGTGGCCAATGATGCCTGGTCCATTTTCTCGCTCCCCTCTTGGCCAGGGCTTTTTTTCCACTGGAGCTCCAGCAGCAGCAGCAGGAAGGGTGGGCAGAAGGAGCGAGGGGAGAAGGAGCAGCACCATCTGAAGGGGAAACTGCTGTTGACTGACCCTTACCTCAGCTGGGAGGCTTTGGTATAAATTATGTGGTGAAACTCCATACCAATAGAATTAACCTGGATGTCGAAGTCCTTCCTTCAAATACACATCAGAACGGGTCCATTTCTGTTGCTCTGCAAAGCCCCGTTGGTGTCATGGCTCTGAGAGCTCTGAGGCCAGCACGAGCAATGATGGAAACCTTGGTCCCACTCCCTTGGCTAGTAAGAAGATGGGAAGCCCCCAGAAGCAAATCAACCCTGCCTGTGGACTTCCATGTCCCCTGCACCTTGGACCAGCTGCAGCTGTGGGCTCACAGGGAAGGTCCTTGAGGGGTTCTGCTCCCACTGCACCAAGTGAAGGGGGTGCTGCTGTGATACCAGCCAAAAGTCAGGAGTAAAACACACCAGAGCAGCAACATCAATTCCTGAGGCAGAACAGGGAGATGCCATTAGGTGTCCACCAAATCCAGGTAACTCACCTCAGCCCTTTGGCTCACAGGTCTGTGTTGGCCGTCTGGATGTTTATGGTGGAGCAAATGGTCTGCGAGGCAGGTCCCTTCCTGTACTTGGCCTGCTCCATCCATGCCTCGCGGCAGGATGTAACTACGGGTGGCAGCATGTTGTCCTGAATCTGAGGCACCTTCTGGCACATGCAGAGCAGGGACTTGAGCTCCGAGCGGAAGCTCTCGTTGAGCCAGCAGTAGATGAAAGGGTTGTAGCAGGTGCTGCTCATGGCGAACCAGTGCAGGGCAAAATAGAGGGAGTTCTTCGTCTTGATGCCTAGGCTGGAGATGAGCACCACGTAGCAGTTGAGAGGGAACCAGCAGACAGCAAAGACCACCACCACCAGCATCAGCATCTTGATGCTCTTCTTCTTGTTCTTGTGGTGGGTGATGTACTGCTGTGTGGTGATGTCTCCAATGGCGTTGCGGAGCCACAGCTTCTTGGCCAGGCGCGTGTAGGTGACCGTGATGATTAGCAGAGGCAGGAGGTAAAGAAGGAGAAATGTAGACAGGTCCAGATACTTCCAGACCAGCTCTGCAGGCTCAGGAAAATCAGGGAGGCACAAACTCCTGACAGTGGCTTCCCTTGAAAAACAAATAAATATATATATAGCATGTGGCCATTGCTGTGCTAACAGATGCTGCTGATTTGGCAAACCACTGCTGGGCTTCCACACCACCCCCAGCCACCTCCCCAGATTTGCAGTATAGACAGAGGAGGGCCAGATGGTGCTCACCTCAACAAAACAAAGCTCAGGCAAACCTCTGTTTCCCAGAAAGTCTTCTCATGATGTTCTCTGTGGCTGTCTTACCAAGGATAAGCCTGGCTACTGTGTATCGTTACCTGCTTTCCCCTTAAATTGTGTTGTCTGATAAAAGAAATCCTTAGAAAGACAAACTGGAGTTTCCTCTTAGAGGCTTCAGTTGATTTTAATTGAGTGAGTCCCTTGTGTCCCCTTAACATGGCAGAAGTCACCCCTGGTGGCCCATTCTTACAAAAGGGGCTACTGTGAAAGAAGCCCCCACCTGGCTGCATCTGCCCTTACCCATGGGCACAGAGACATGGCAGTGCTGGTGGAAAGACAGCAGTGGATGAGACCCACCTAACTCCTGCTTTTCTCCAAGTCCCATAGGTGATTCCTTCACAGCTGGAAAAAGGACACCTTATGCCCAGGTTTCCCAGAATGTGCCCACCCAGAAATCCAGCCCGGGATGTGTTACTCCTCTTGCACGTGGGCTGCACCAACTGCTGTCTGGCCAAGCACAACTGACCTCATCTTCCTGGGACACGGCGGGGTCACGGCACGTGCTGGGATCCCACTTGCCATAGCTCTGCTTGTCTCTGCCAGGTTGGATCTGCAGTCCATGCCCTACACCTACACTCACCTTTCTGTGTCCCCCAGCAGGTCCAAGACCCCCTTGGCCAGAGCAGAAAACTGCTGGACCAGCTGGGAAGTCAAAGCCATTACAGATGGAAGGGGAAGGGGCTTCTGGAGCCTGGAGGCCACGTGAAAGCCTCGCAAGCACGACCCCACCTGCAGAGACAGCAATCCTTCCTTCCTGTACCAACCACCCCGTTTCCATCAGCTCTTCAGACCAGCTGTTAAAACCTTATTGCTGTGTCTTAAAACAGGCATGATGATTAGAAAATCTGCTCTCTTAACCCCAGTTTAACTGACAGTTTAGCTTTTGATGGTTGGCTAACGAAAGAATCGAGTTTAATTATATGCAATAGCTTATTTCAACAGCACCTCAGCAATCTGTCCCATTTAAACCAGCAGATCCAGGCTCTTTTCACTTATTTTAACAGCACCTCAGCAATCTGTCCTGCTCAACCCAGCGGATCCAGGCTCACTTTGCATTTTCTGGCTGGCAGTGCCTCTCAGCTGAGGCTCCCCAACACTTTCTGCATCCCGCAGCAGATGACTGGAAGGGATGAAACACTGGGAGAAATGAGCTCTTGTGCATTTATTTCTGATGGATGTTTTCTCCTTTTCTTTCCTTTCCTCCCCCCCTCTTTTTCTTTCTCTTACTCCATTTTGTCCTTGTCCTTAGCTCACCTGCATTTAGCCCAGACTTTAGTCCCCATCAAGCTGCATTATTTGTTGCAGTATTGATTAGTATCTTTAATATCCTGTTTTCAACCTCGGGAGCTGTCTTTTGTGCCACAAATAGAAGATTGCTTGAAAACAGACGGCTGCGAGCCGGGGCTGTGCGCGGCTGTTGGAGGGATGACAAAGGGTGCGGGAGGAGAGCTCTGCCGAGCCCGGACCCTGGAGACGCTGCTCGAGAGGGGAACTGACGCAGAAGGGAAAAATCATCCTTTATAAACCACGCTCCTGACCTTTTTCTGCCTGGGATCCGGCTGGTCGCCAGCGCGGGCAAGACCAGCCCCTGCCTGCCTGCTGAAGAGGACCTGCCAAAGCAACGGGAGACCTGGCAGGAGAAGCAAGCGCGGCGCCCAAGGTGACACCGCAGCCTGGGGTCAGCCCCACCACGGCCATGGCTGAAGAGCAAAGACAGAGGGAAAGAGCAGAAGAGATGGGGTTGGGAGAGGGGTGGTCACCCCTCACCGCCCCCCTGCGAATCGGGATGCTTTGATCTAAGGGATGGTATCCAGACTGAGGTCCCTGGAGCACAGCTGAAGGCTGGGGAGGGTGATGCTCCGGTGCTTGCAGAGTTTCAAACCCCATTTGGACAGAGAAGGCAGCAGGATGAGCCCACAAATAAGCAAAAAAACCAGCTGCCCCCTTCCCTCTCCCCCTCTAAAGAAGGGGCGCAGAGCTGTGAAAGATGCTTACAATTATATCAGAGAAGAGGCTGGTTGAGAGCAAAACCAGTAAAACTCTGATATGACTGGAGTCGAGGATGGAGCCGGGCTCTTTTCAGTGGTTCCCAGTGACAGGATGAGGGGCAACGGGCACAAGCTGGAACATGGGAAGCTCCATTCAAATCTGAGGAAGAACTTTCCAGTGAGGGTGCCAGAGCCGTGGAGCAGGCTGCCCAGAGAGGGTGTGGAGTCCCCTTCTCTGGAGATCTTCAAGACCCACCTGGATGCAGTCCTGAATAATGTGTTCTGGGCAATCCTGTTTTAGTTGGACTAGATGATCTCTGGATGTCCCTTCTGACTGACAATTCCGTGATTCCGTGACTGCACCGCAGCCAGAGAGGTTTGATGCTGGTGGAGCCCATGTTCTCCAGACCCCAGAAGCCCAACAGCTCCCTGGTGGGACTTTCTCAGGAGCTGCTGGCCCTGCAGGAGCTATTACAAGCAATATTACAACTGCGATTTTTATTCAATGGAAAGCAGGGACGAGAATAGCATGTCCTGGAAGTCCTTATATCGCTGCGGCGCCTCATGCCAACGCGAGGCCAGGTTTCCTCCGGCCGTGCTGAGGGATGAGCAGAGACAGGTGCCGTGAAACAGATAGCGGCGTGTGTTCATTCATGAGCAATTTGTTCAGTCATACCCACACATACAGAGCACAGCTGCAAAGCAACGCGAGCCCAGGAGTAACCCAGCACTCTGTTTACAAAGTCTAAGCAGTTGAAGATATTCTATCCCGCAGGGAGGCATCGCTCGCATCCATCACAAAAAAGGAAGAGCCGTGAAGAGCCCCAGATTGGGCTCCCATTTTTCTGTAACCTCTCGTAGACAAACAAGCAATAAAAAGCCCATGTGGGCTGTTAAACGCTCTCCCTGCCATGCTGTTGGGTCCTTTGGACAGAAGCCCAATGTCTACAGTAGGAATCTCTCTCCTGCTGCCTATTGCTGCCTCCTTACCCTGCTTACAGGATGAAAATCCTGCTCGCTGTAAGGTTTGGCCTCCAGTCTGGCCTTTCTGCAAAATGCAGGCACCAGCAGCGTGACACACCACCACGGAAAGCACCAGTTTGTGTGGCGTTACAGACTGGTTTCTAGCCAGGAAGAGTCACAGCAACGCCACGAGCTGGTGGGGACAAGAGGACAGCAGCAGGTTGGGTTCCATGGAGGAACAGAAGACAGCCAACCCAAAACTTCTGGTTCTTTATTTCTCCCTGGTAGAGAGGGTAACCTCACAGCAATGAATGCCACCACGGGACCAGCTGGAAGGTGAAGAAGGAGGAAGAGAAGCTTTTTTTCTTTTCTTTTTTCCCCCTCTAGAACAGAACTTTTACTTTCTTCTGACACTTCAGCAGTCCTCATGTGGATGTGAGATTCCACTTCATCTTCTTTTAATAGGTTCTGTTGTTGTGTTCAGCCAAGCAAAGAGCTCTCTTCCCTGCTGGGCAAGGCAAAGCAACACTCTGAGATGACGTTTCCCTGTTGAAGCACTGTTCCTCTCACCAGCCCTTCACTGCAGAGGAAGAGATGGAGGTCTCTTTTTTGCTTGTCCTGTTTAGGTAACGTTGGGCAGAGGAGTCTCAATCTTTAAGGAAAGTTGTTCCTGTTTGGTAAACCCAGCTGGGTGAAATGAAAGGAAGCTAAAATGTGTGAATCAGCGCATGAAGTCTTGGAGATCTGGGGTTCACGGCCCTGCTGACTCACAAAGGCGGTCCTCTCCTCCCTGTTCTTTCTGTATAGTCTTGCTAGTGTCAGCACCAGATGTTAACAGCATGAATTTTATTTTCTTTCTTTCTTTTTCAAACTGCTCTCTCTCTCTTTCTTCCTTGCCTGAGGAAGTTGGCTAGACACGGGCTTCTTAAGTCTAGGGAGCTGAGCAAGGGTGAGGAGGGAAGAGAAAAGGCCCTCAGGAGAAAATGGCCTTCTCAGGACAAATGGGCTTCTTAAATCTAGGGAGCTGAGCGAGGGTGAGGAGGGAAGAGGAAAGTCCTCAGGAGAAAATGGCCTTCTCAGGACAAAGCCCCTGCAGTGGTATCACGACACTTGGAGAAGATTTGTCTCACCAACCTGCTGTGCCCTGGCCACCTGCACTGGCCACCCAACTGTGCCTAGAGTCTGCCATCAGCAGGAGGTTGTGGAGGTGGGACTCACCCCCTCATCCAGGCATTTGGGCAATGGCGAAAGCAAACCCAGGTCCTGAGGGCATGCAGTGAGCCAAGTGGCTCTTCCACTGGGCCAGTCCTCTGCTGTGGGAAGTGAGATTTCATCCACGCACAAGCTCCTACCAATTCCACTGTGTCCTTCCTCAAACCTGGAAGCCCTTCCAGAAGCTCTCACTGCTGAGACCCACTGCCACAGAGGGCTATCAGACCTCTTAATGCTTGCTTGGAAGGGGAAATAACTCACCTGTAGTTATACTGGAAAAGCTTTTGGTAGATGGCATGGGGCAGGGAGAAACAGGTTGCCATCAGCCAGATAACAGAGATGCTCAGCGCTCCTTTTGTTAGTGACATCCTCTGCTTCAGCGGGTTCAGGATGACCTGCAACAGAGACTTCACCATGACTCTTATCTCCCAGGAAAGCAAAGCCCCTTCACCAACGCACACAGCAGAGGCATTTTTTTGGCATGATCTAATGCTGTTAAGAAAATGACAGCCGTGATAGGAAATGCCCTGCTTGTTAGATTGACATGGAAAATGAGAAACCTTGAACTTTCAGTCTGTTCAGAAGTGCTTTCAAATAAACTTTTTCCTCTATTTTGTTCTGTGAGGGCCATTTTCCTTAAATGGAAAAAAAAGAAGATATCTACAGAAGTCTCTTCATTTGTGGGCACGTTTGTTTATTTTATATGAATTACATAAAGAAATGTCTCCTGTTCTGGCTGAACCTATGAAGCTGAGCCTCTTTTGAGTTAATGCCTCCCCTATTTTGAAGCATTAACTTTTATGAATTCTTCTTTGTGGGATGACAAGGTAAAGTGCTTATAAAATTTGAGAGCCTGGAAGATGCTATTTGGCAGCAAAGGAAGGGAGAGTGATTGCTAGAGATGAGGGCATGGCCTGGGCTGCCCTCCCTTTCCCGTGCTGGCAATGCAGCAAGTGTTTTTCACAGTGGGCAGCTGGTGAGTACAGTCTTCTCACAGCTCTGAAGTCTCCTCCCAGCTGGAAACAGAGATTTCCCACTCTGCTGTTCCCCTTTATACTGGTCCAGCATTAGTCCCACAGTTATTTAGGCTTTAGTCTCAGAATTTTCTTTTGATTCCCTGAGACAGTGAGCTGAGAGTTGCTGCAAACTCCTACTGTCCCCCAGCTTGTTGATGTACCAAATGCCCAGACTGGCGTTTTGTGGGGTTTGGGTGGTAAACTGAAAAGCTTGGAAAAGTTCCCTGTAGAGTTAAAGTAACACTTTGCACTCAGCATTGGCTCTGCTGCCTTCCAAGGTCCCCCTTGTAAAACCAAGCCTCTTGAATCAACTTGCCCAGCTGGACCTGGGGGCTAGGTTGGACCTGGCTCTTTTCAAACCACTTGAAAAAGGTGTCCTCACCCTTTTCCACTGAAAGTTTGGGAGGGTTCTGTGAAACCTGTGACGCTGCATTGTTTTTTTCCTCCCCTGAGCTCCTACAGAAGCCCATCCAGCCTTCTTACCCCTGACACATGAGGTGGGTCTTTGAATTTAGCTCCAGAGCCTTCTCATTGGATATGGGTTTAAAACCCAAGATTCAGCCACCTTTAACCCACGGCTCAACCGAGACTGACAGAGGCTTGGGAAGAACCTGGGAGGGTTTTACCTGGTGCCTGTCCAGGGCGATGGCCGTCAGGGTGAGCGTGGAGACGTGGAGGGAGCAGTACTGCACGAAGCGGCTGATGTGGCACATGGCCTTTCCAAAGATCCACGTGCTGTTCACAAACCGAACCTGAGGAGAAAGCAACGGGCTATCAGCCAGCAAATGTACCAGAAACAAATCCACAGGGAAACCCTTTGGATTGCACTTGAGCTGGCCCATGGATTTTGCCTGCCTGGCTGGGCAGTTCCACCTGGAACCCAAAGAAAGATTAGCTATGCTGGATTTTGAAACACCCACAGATTAAATAAGTGGTGCTGTCACAGCCCTCCTGAACAATATAAACACCATTTGTGAACAGTGGTAATAACTTTTTGATTATACTAATAGCTATATCTGGAAAAAGTGAACCAAGTCTTCATCACACAAACCCCCCTTCAGGCCTGGAGAACTTTCACTGAAGACTTTACTCAACCAGTAGCTCCGAAAAGCTTGACTACCTTCTTCCAGTCATCCAAATATGACAGGCTTTCAAGTTGTTTTGATCCACTAAGTTTAAAGTGTGGGTCTCTAATGCTCTCCTGCATGCAAATTAAAAGTACATATCATCCAGGAACATATTCTGCATTCCCCAAGAAGCTCTTGCCGTGGTTTGGTGGCATACTTGGAGAGACTTTAAAGTCTTTTAGAAGATATAGAGTCTAACGGAGCAAAGAGAGCCCACAGGTTGCTGAACTGTGTTTTACTTGCCTGGGAGAGTTGTTTATTAGACTTGATTGTGTTGGGTTCATGCCTCAGTCCTGGAAGAGCATGCACAGAGAAGGTGTGACCACCAAGCAGGGCATTCTCGTGAGAGACTCCCTTCCTGGCTGAAGGGACAGAACAGTGGGCCACTTACCAGGGTGAACGGGGTGTTGAGCAGCGTGATCATAATGTCCGACACCGCCAGGTTGACGATGAACAGGCTGGTGGCTGAGTGCATCCTCTTGTTCTTCAGCACCACGTGGCACACCAGCATGTTCCCAAAGAGAGACATGATGATGATGACCGAGTAGGCCACAATTAGGAGAGCTTTCACTGTTGGTTTCTGGGATTCCGGCTCGTATTTAGCCAGCTCGGCAAATTTCTCCCACTCAACAATACGGCTGTCTGTCCAGTTGAAGGTGGTCCTGTTGGTTGCTTGGTAGATTGACATGAGCTTGGCCAAGGAAGAGTAATGGTCAAATTCCTCAAGAAATGCCATCGTCTGTGACCTGTATGACTGAAGCAACAAGCGAGGCATGGTGGGTTAACCTGAGTCTTCAACCAGCTCAAGGCAACTGGGATCACAGTTCCAGCTCACGTAGCAAGTGATCCATCAGCTTCAACTGCTTGGTTCTCTAGGAAGCTGGTGAAGATGCAGCTGCCATTACAAACACTTTAAAATGTAAAGCTGGAGGGGGCCTCTAAGGTGCAATGGGTTCCCCAGGGGCAGAAGCAGCACCAGGGAGCAGTTCCAGCTCTCACACAGAAAAAGGGCTGGTCTGGGACCACGTGCTCTCAACCCCTTCATATATCAAGAAGAGTAATAGCTCCACAGGCAGGCTGGAAAGAAGAGCTATTTTCATGTGTAGCAAATGTAGGGAAAACTCGGGTGGCGCCTGAAGTTGTTTTAATCCCACGTCAGCTTTTTTGTCTTTGTTCTCAACTGAGTCCATTTTTCGTCCAAGTCCCACAGAAGGCTGTGCTGTTGGCGCTTTCATCCTCTACTTCAAAACACCCAGTTTTCTTTTTTTTTTGTTGAAATGTTAAGGCAGAACCATTTGGGGCATCATTTTTAAGAACACAGGTAGCTTTTGTCTGCATCTAACCCCAGCAATTATCCTAAAGTGGTTCAGAGCGTGAAAATCACATCAGAAGTTGACTTCAGTCTGTCTCACATTTTCTCCTCCAAACAACAACTGAATTCCGCTTCTGGCGTTTCAGTTTCAGGGTGAAAACAGTCTTTCCTGCAAAAGACAAGACTTAGCAGTGAAGAGGCATGCAACTCACAAAGGATCCACTTACAGCGTATGCAAACCAACACACAGCGCTAGATACACAAGAACAATCCTCTAGAGATAAAAATCTCTGCTTCCTCACCTTTACCGATATCCATTCTTAGATAATCCTGGGGACTTTAGGTGGCATTGATCTACTGATGTTAGGTGGAACCTATTAACTATGCACACCGGTATTTACAGACCTGCCACATATGGGAGGAGAAAGTCGTTTAGAAGCTCTGTCAGATTCTCGGGGAGGGTGGCCGGTTTGTTTGGTACGTGGTGTTCCTGCCGAGCCTGTGTGCACAAATCAATGGACCTCACACGGCGTGAGGGATTAATAAGCAGAGCTTTCAGAGTGCTAAAAGGCTCCCCGATAGCTTCCCACACAGCAGACCAGCAGGCCACCCGGGGCAGCCAGCTCGCTGCAGGACAGCGAGTAGACATCCAGTAGACCCCAAGCCAACACACCGCTCAGCCTGGGCTGCAAACACCACCAAAAGTCAGAGATAACTGTTTTCTGATGGAAATAAGTGTGTTTGTACCCATGGATTCCCATAATACAGTCTGCTTGGGCTTGTCTGCTTACTCTGGGGAGTGTTGGGAATACTGGAGGATGCATCTCAAAAGCAAGTGGATGCTAAGGCAGCTCGGTGGGGTGGAAGGAATGAGGAACCATCCAGGAGACAGAGAGAAGAAGAAATCTTGAAAAGATGCCATGGCCTGCACAAATTTATGAGTGAAGGAAGCCTGGGTAGGACAGAGAGTGTGACAAACGCTCGTGGATTCTGCTAGAGCAAAGCAGCTGTAACGCAGTGGGCAGTTCAGCTCCTCCTTGTTCTCCCAGCGCTGATGGTACTGGGAGCATCAAGACCACCTCTAGACCAGGTTCCCAGTCTGGCTTTCGCACAAGACGTGGACCTGGGGAGCTGCCAAGAAACTGGGAGCAGAATTGAAACCAACGAAAGGGGTCATGCACCTTGTCTGAAAAACACGGTTGGCACACGGGACTCATTGCAGCAAAACATAGAATCATCTCTGAGACTAAGCTTGGTACAAGTCAGAAAGGACTTAATGCTTACGCAGGTAATGAGACAATCCAGAACTACATCCCTCTGGGCTTCTAGAGTGGGGAAGAGCAGATGGGCAATAAGAGCCTTAAGCGACCTGCAAGGTTCATCCCATGCCTGGGTAAGGCACAGGGGACTCCACACCTCCAATAAGGAGGTCTGCTGTGGTATATGCTGAGGATCCAATTCTTCATGGTGCGTGGCAGCTCTCAGCAGGCAGTGAGACGCAGCTGCACTGAGCTGTGAGGGTAATGCAGCACGTGTGTAACGAAAAAACACGATTTTGTCAGCTCCACCTGAACCACTTTGGTCTCTGAATAAGCACGGTTGGGATGTTCGTGCTACACTGAAATGCCAGCGTTCAGCTTGAGAGAGGATGCTGTGGCGTGACAGATGAAACCACCTATTGCCTTCCCTACATCCATTTACATCAGGTTCCCATAAGGGAACTTGTCTTTGCCACCATGAGATGAGGCTGAGTTTCAAGGAACTGCTACGATGCATGGGTCACATCAGATCTGCAGCCTCCATGCTTTGGGCTGGTGGGCAGCAAGAAGAAATCTTGTACAGGTTATTCGATTTAAAAAAGCCAAACAGGTTTTCTCAAGTGCCCGTGCGGTTGAGAAGCCCATTTCCCAAGGACTACCTGCAGGATCTTCACTCTCGAGTAGCTCACAGTGATCGGGCAACCGCGGCCTTAAATGTGGATGATGAATGGGGACCACTCTTCTTCCCTACCACACATAGCCATTTCTCTCGTGCCTATGTCCAGGTCCCTGTACAATCAAATAAAAAAAGCTGTTTCATCTGAAAATTAAATAAAGCGTTTTCAGCTGGATTCATTTCCTGACCTGACCCACTGCAGGGCTGAACCTTGCTCTTCCCAGAGCTCAACCTTGCTCTTTCCAGGGAAGGAGAATGGAAGAACTTAAGACGATGGAGCTGTAACCTGATTTTCTAACAGGGAATTTCTCCTTGAGATCTTTCTCTATCCAGTAAAACATTACTTTCAGTAATTGTTGAAGCTCTTGATGTTGGCTGCTGCCTGAGACTGCAGGTGCAGCAGAGAGGACTCTCCTCCTTTCCCGAGGAAGTGTGTGTTTAAATGCATGTTATCCCAATGAGTTGAAATACCACGGTTTCATGCAATAAGAGCCTTTAGCTTACAGTTTTTTACGAGTGGATAGAATCTGAAGGACCACAGAGGAAGAGCCTACCTCAGTGCAACTTCTCCCAGCTCATCCAGCTCGGGGTCCAAACAGGCTGCCCGAATTCCCCTGGCTGCTTCAGCGCTCATTTCTTCCTTCCTGCCCGGCAGAAATGTTAACTTTCCACTCTAAAAACAAATAAATACGTACATAAATAAATAACTCAAAGCCATCTTTCCAACAGCAGTCTGCCAAACGGGTTGGAATTCTAACTAAACCCCCCCATACACACCCCCCCCACCGGCCGAATTCCCCTGCCTGCTTCAGTGCTCATTTCTTCCTGCCCGGCGGAAATCTCAACTTTTCACTCTAAAAATAAATAAACACGTACATAAATAAATAACTCAAAGCCATCTTTCCAACAGCAGTCTGCCAAACGGGTTGGAATTCTAACTAAACCCCCCCATACACACACCCCACCCCCCC